TTGACCCTGACAAGTGGGACCTGTGACGCATGCTCACCCAGTGTTTCTGTTCCTGCCATATTCTGGGTACTTAGCCCCCCTCTCACTCTCCCTAGTTTTTTGCTCCAGTGACTCACGTCTGTCTTCCCCTTTTCACTACATGCTCACCAGGGGGACTGGCTTTTTATTATACCCCAGAACCCAGCATGAGGGTGGCTTATCGCAGACAGTATCCACCTGAGGAATGAATGGATGCTTGCCTGGTGCTGGGAGCTTGGGCATAGTCCCGGCCCTGGCTGATGCGGGTCCATGGTCATGGCCTCACTGTCCCCCAGGAGGCAATCCAGCTGGATGGGGAGATCCTCTTCTCTCTGCTGCAGAAGGTGTCGCCCGTGGCTCACAAGCACCTCAGCCGACAGAAGATTGACCCACTGCTCTACATGACAGAGTGGTTCATGTGTGCCTTCGCCCGCACCCTGCCCTGGAGCTCCGTGCTGCGTGTCTGGGACATGTTCTTCTGTGAAGGTACCGGGCTGAGCTCCGGGGAGCACCCCTGCCCCTAGCCCAACCCAGGAGGCCTCTATTTTCATAGAAACTCCCTACAGGCCCCCTTGCACTTACTGCCTGTCTGCACCCCCATACAGGAGTCAAGATCATCTTCCGGGTGGGGTTGGTGCTGTTGAAACATGCGCTGGGCTCCCCGGAGAAGCTCAAGGCCTGCCAGGGCCAGTACGAGACTATCGAGCGGCTGCGAAGCCTCAGCCCCAAGATCATGCAGGAGGCATTTCTGGTCCAGGAGGTGAGGCCTATGCCTTCCCTTCACCACTTGGAGGGGAAGACGTACAGGCCCTTTTGAGGGGAGCCTGGTAACTCTCTGCTCTTGAGGGTGGGTCATTGGTGCCAGGCACAGAGCTCAGCAGCCCAGCATGGTGTGGGTGGACCTCACCCTTCTATCTGAATGAGAAGAGGCTCAGAGAGGCCTAAGTTTGTGGGGCCTTCCCTGTTCTGAACCACTTGGGAATGAGGGGAGCTGCAGCCCATTAACCCCTTCTTCCTCCCTGGTACCACATCCATGGCCTTGGCTTTAATTTTTCTTTCTTCTGTGGATTTTTGTTCTCTCAGGCTGTAATCAGGTGACACAGTTAGGACAGTGTAGTCATGAGCTGTGGGCAGCTTTTTTCTCTGAGACAGTGGGTCTCAAGTGCCTAGCTCACCACCTCTAGGGAACTTGTGACCACCACAGGGACCAGACCTTTATTCTTCCTATGGTCAGCCCTTAGTGACCAAGACTGGGGGACTCTGAGGCTGGGAGGCAGAGGGGAAGGTTCTTCCTGGTGCCCACCTGCCTGTCACTGCTCCCACAGGTAATAGAGTTGCCAGTGACAGAGCGCCAGATTGAACGTGAGCACCTCATCCAGCTACGGCGTTGGCAGGAGACCCGGGGTGAACTGCAGTACCGCTCCCCACCCAGGCTGCATGGTGCCAAGGCCATCCTGGAGGCAGAGCCAGGCCCCCGGCCCACCCTGCAACCTTCACCATCCATCCGCCTGCCACCAGATGCCCCACTCCCTGGCTCCAAAGGCAAGCCCAAGCCACACAAGCAGATTCAGAAGGAGCAGCAGAAGCAGGAGAAGGCAAGTGGGCAGCTGGAAAAGACCCCGATGCCGGGTCAAGCGAAGATGGTGATCGCTGGGGGAGATGCATGTCCCCCACAGGATGTGCCTCCAAAGGACGCAGTCCACCAGGACCCAGCCCTTCAGGACTCAGCTCCCCTGGATTCAGCCCACCACTGTTCTAAGGAGAGCCTGACGTCCCAGGAGAGTGAAGACACCTACTTGTAACCCTGGCATCTCAGGCCTCCAGGGCGGGGTCTCCACATATCTACACGGTTCACAGACTGACAGTCCAGGGCCCAGTCTACCCTCTGAGGGCCCAGCTGCCTGGCTACTGGGTGCAGAGAGTCTGGCTGGCCCAGTACAGGTTCTGCTTGAGCCTCCTTATTTATTTTCTCCAGATTGGAGCTTGGGCTGGCCCAGTTGGGGCAGACAGAAGGGAGAGCCTTACTCAGTCACCTCCTCCTGGAAGGATGCTCCCCAGGGCTAGGGCACTGACTTGAGGGAAGAAGGGAGAGTGCAGGTGGATTGATCTTTGTGTAAAATAGAAACATTGTTTTGTACAGAAATAAACAGGTTTGTATAGAGAGCTGGTGTGCAGCTAGGGACTGGGTAAGGGTGTACCCACTCCTGGTGCTTAGCATTTCTTCCACTCCCTACAGAGCCCTCATCCTGGCCCCAGCAAAGCACAGAGCCTCTCTGAGAAATACCTTTGCCAGAGGGGATGTCAAGTGCAGGGCCAGCCCCTGTTCCTGGTCCCCATTTTGTCTCCCTCCATCTCTCTTCTGCATATCTACCATCTACCAAGGGTGAAGGCTAGAGCCCAGAGCTAGGGCAGAGCAGAGCATACTCTTCAGTCCTTGATTCCTACTCATCACTGATGGGTTGAGCTCCTTAAGGAGATCCTTTTGGGGTGTTCCTCAAGGCCTGGCCTGGATGCCACTTTGGACCCCAGGAAGATTCTTTTTTCTTTTTATTGATTTTAGAGAGAAAGGAAGGGAGAGGGAGAGATAGAAAGAAACATCAATGAGAGAGAACATTGATTGGCCGCTTCCTGCATGCCCCCCACTGGGGATTTGGCCCACAACCTGGGCGTGTGCCCTGACCAGAAATCCAGCCGGCGACCTCTTGGTGCATGGGTCGATGCTCAACCACTGAGCCACACTGGGCCAGGCAAGGTTCCTTTCAAAAAAAAATTTTATTGATTTAGGAGAAAGAAACATTGATTTGTTCACTTATTTATGCATTATTAATTGGTTGATCCTTGTATGTGCCCTGACTGGGGATTGAATATGCAACCTTGGTGTATCAGCTCAACATTCTAACCTACTGAGATTCCCAGCCAGGGCCCCAATAAGGTTCTAAGTGTTCATTCTGGGTTGGGTGCTGGTGCCAGAGACCATGTATGCCCTCACATGTACAGCCCAGGTTTCCATTAGAAGAGAGGGGAGAAGGCTAGATCTTTGATAAAAAGGCCGCCTGTTGTTTACTGGCGCTTAGCATCTTCCATGCTGGGTTGGTTGTGTCACCAGCTAATTAGGTGGGCTCTATTATCTCCATTTGACAGATGAGGCAACAGAGGAGCTGAGAAAGGTGAAGCTGGTCAAAATTTGTACTCAGAGCCCCTCAGCTACCTCTCCTGACCAGGGTGCCAGATGATCTGACTGCCATTGAGGGCCCAGGCAAGCTCTGTGTTCTCAACCTGATGACTAGTGAGGTTATGGACAGGGTGTCCCTGGGAGAGGCCCCCCTTCTGCTGAGGAAGCAGCTTTTCCAGTCAAACAATAGCGGCTGTTCCTGGCAGGCCACCAAGCTGGGCTGAGCCATGGAGGGACGGGGCAGGAGAGGGAGGAGTAGAGCCCTCCCTAGGACTTTCAGGCATCTCAGGGCTTCAGTTTGGAACATCTTGTTCTGGTACAGCTGGGTATACTGAGGCCTGTGGAGGTCAAGGGTCATGTGAGCTTGTCAGGGCAGGCAATTACTTCCTGCCCCCCAACCCTCATGCCTGTGGTTTTCCCACCCCATTTACACTATCAATGAGAAGAGGGGCTCAGCCTTTGAGGACAGTCCCCTCCCCCGACCCTCTAGGGGACAGGCCAGGATGTGGCAGCTGCACAGTGTTCCACAGGAACCCATGAGCCAAAGAGTACATAGAGGACAGGCACTGCCCTGCTTCTATCCACCTGCAGTGGAGGCTCCCAAGCAAGCAGGAAGCCTGTGTAGGCCTGCTGGGTCCTAGTCAGGCCTGAGGCCTGCTTTAACCTGCTTGTTTCAAAGCCTCAGATCTGAGGCCTGAGGATGCTTGAGCCAGCCAAAGGCCCCCTCCCAGAGCATGCTCAGTCCTGCTACTGGGCCAGCCTAGCTGTGCTGTTGCCTGCTCAGCCTTGGGGTCTTCTTAGACCAGAGGAGGCCCAGTCCTAACGTCAAAATGAGCCCAAGTTGGTCCTAACAAGCCTCCGATCTGGGGCATCTGCCAGTGCTGGGGGCCTCTTTGGACATGAAGCAAATTTAGATATGTTCAGGCTAGATTAGTTCTTCTAATGGCTGCTGGCTTTGGAAGGCCTTGGCAAGGTGCAAGTCTCAAGTCTGAGATCTGAGTACCCACCCAGTGAGGCCCAGATGCATGGATCTGCCCCCCTGAAGTCAGCGTTGGGCATCACTGGCCTTAGTTTTGAGGGGCCTCCTTAGCCCTAGCGGCCTTCAGTGCCCTACCCAACAGTATGACAGAGGTGGTTGGGGCCCTTACTGTCTCTGTGACCCTGGGGGAGAGACTTATTCCATGAGAGGAAAGAGGGAGAATGGTGCCAGGATACTTTAATGGGAGAGAATCATAGGGTCCCTAGGGCTGCAGAGTGGACCCCTACCCTTCCATGCTCCAGGGATTTGGAGGCAGCGCTCTGATCCCAGACAAGTCCTGATTTGCCTCACGGCCCTTCCAAGCCTCAATGACCTCAATCATTGGACCCATTTGGGGGCTTGAAAGATAGAAACAACCCCATGTCTCCTGCAAGATTCCCACCCCAGGATCCACCGGCAACTTGCGGAATGGGTGCAGCCCCGAGAAGAGGCGCGGCATGGGCGGGGTCTGAAAGATGGGGGTGGGGTCAGCTGGTGAGTCCTAAACCAAAGTTAGAGAGGCGGAGTTAGTCGGGGCGGGGCTCCGCGGACTGGAGGAGCAGTGTGAGGCTCCAGAGTTAGAAGAGGCGTGGTCATCTCTGATAGGCTGCGCGTCCCGCAGGGCGTGGCCGTCAGGGAGCCGGACGCGGCGCAGGGCTGGGCGGGTCTGAGGCGTAGAGGGAGGTGTGAACTAGGATGCACAGCGGCTCCTTTAAGCCCCCGGCACCGCCTCCCCGCCCCGCCCCCGGCGCGGCCTGGGTCTGGCTGGCGTGCGGATCGGTTCCGCGCGAACCGCGATGGAGCTGCACATCCTAGAGCACCGGGTACGGGTGCTGAGCCTCGCGCGCTCCGGTCTCTGGCTCTACACCCACCCACTCATCAAGCTGCTATTCCTGCCCTGCCGAAGCCGGTGCGCGCCCGGGTTCGGGGCCACAGATTAGGGTGGGCTCCACTATGGCTCCGGGACCGGGTCGGGAGATTAGAGTCACCGCGGGCGAGTGGGGGCGAACGAGAACGGGCGGGGAGGGCCCTTCCACCCCACCACCCGGCCGCCATCCGGCTTGGCCTTACCCTCCCTGGGACCGCCGCCTATCCGGGGCCAGTTAAGGCGCAAACAGCCTAAGGTGGGCAGTGCTTAACTCTGAGTAGTATCAAATGGGGGTATTCCTTCCTGGCGACTGAGGGGAGCTTCTTGCAGACGCCTCCCATCGGGTCAGAGGGACCGGTCTAGGCGACTCCAAGTCTGACGCCCCTGGGCTGTCGCCGTGGGTCATCTCCTCCCTCATGCGGAGGTGGGAGGCAAAAAACAGTTCGCGATTCCGAAGATAGGGCCCACACCCCGTTGCCATGGGGAGAAAATTGAGGCTTGAGTGGGCAGGGAGGCGTCGGGCAAAGGGGTCGTTACCGGCGGATAGATCCGCCCCCTCCTCCCGACCCGGCTGAAGATGTTCCCACCCCCAACCAGGTGCAAATTCTTCAGCCTGACGGAGACTCCCGAGGATTACACGCTCATGGTGGACGAGGAGGGCTTCAAAGGTGGGGGCTGGGCTGGGGAGGGATGTCGCGCTTCTCTCTTTTCGGGATTCTCACTAGATGCTGGGGTCCAGTGACCTAGGAGCTGAGGCTTTGAAGGCAGATGGATCTGGTTCAACTTGGACTACACCACTCGCTGGCTGTGTGCCCTTGAGCAAGTCACTTCCCCTCTCTGAGCTGTTTGTTTCCTCTTATATAAAATGGGTATAGTTATGGTTCTGATCTAATAGGGTCCCATGAGGGCTTTATACACAGGCTGTGTGTGAAGGGCACTTAGCAGCCTCAGGCTGGCAGCAGGGCCTCAGTTATGCTTGCTGGCAAGAATCAGGGGTTCCGGCGGCAGTTATATCCCCCTGGCCATTATTCCCCCCTGGACTTCTCTCTGGTGCTGGTCATCCCCTCCCTTGCTGTCTGGGAACTCCAGAAGGCTGAGGGTTGGGGAAGGAATGCTGGAGCAGGCAGCCAGCCCTGGGCAGGGTCCTGGGAACGGGGATGGGGGGGAGGGGCCTCTTAGTTACGCTTGGGCAATTAGCAGCCACCCTGGCCTCAGCCCCTGGTCTGGACTAGACGCCAGCCTGCCCCCTCCCTGGCCTCTGGAAATGACATCTGGCTCCTGCTCCTGCCAGCCTGACCTATCCTCACAGGCCTAAAGTCTCAGGCCAGCCAAATGGGGCTTGACCCATTTCCCACTGCGCTGCTTCAGGCCTTGGTTTCCCTGTTTGTACTGCAGGAAAGTTTGGGTCTGTTAAGGGGAAAGGGCATTCCCCCCAGCCAACCTGATCTACTGGTGCCCTCTTGTGGCTCCACGCGGTATAACGCCTCTGTTAACCCACAGAGATCACTGTCATGAGGTACATACTGTCATCCCATTTTACAGATGAGGAAACTGAGACTCAGAGAAGTTAAATCATTTGCACCAGGTCAACGGCAAGTAAATGGCGAAGCTGGGATTTGAACCCAGGTCTGTCTAAATTTGGAGCTCCGACCTTAACTGGAAAGTTTCAGTGCCTGGCAGGCCAGCACCTGAGGCACATCTCAGTCCTTGCATACATGCAGATGTCAGGAGCAGAACTTGGGGGAAGGGATAGCCCAAGTCTCCATACCTTGCCTTACCTTGGTAGAGCCAACCAAGGCACAGGGAAAATGAGGGGCAGGGGTCATCCCTGTAGACCCTGACTGGTCATGTGCCCTCTGCCTGCAGAACTGCCCCCATCCGAGTTTCTGCAAGTGGCTGAGGCCACATGGCTGGTGATGAATGTGTCATCCCACAGCGGTGCAGCAGTGCAAGCTGCTGGGGTCACAAAGATTGCCCGCTCAGTCATTGCACCACTGGCTGAGCACCACGTGTCTGTGCTGATGCTGTCCACTTACCAGACGGACTTCATCCTGGTGAGTTTCCCACAGGTGCCGATGTAGGAAAGGATGGGTATGGCTGCCTGGGGACTCATATGATATGCCATCTTTCTGTGGCCCAGGTGCGGGAGCAGGACCTGTCTGTGGTGATCCACACACTGGCCCAGGAGTTTGACATTTACCGAGAGGTGGGCGGGGAGCCTGTGCCTGTTGCCAGGGATGATTCCAGCAATGGTTTTCCCCGAGCTCAACATGGTGAGGGTGCCCTCTGACACCCAGACCTGGGTGGGGGGCTCCTCTTCCCACTGAGGCCCTTTGCTTGTGTGGTGTGTCTGTGCATGTGGGGAGAGTAGCTGACACTGAGGGCCTCACAAGATGGGGAGGTGGGGCTGGGGAAACCAAGGCAAATGTCTGTAAAATAGGATGCTACACCCAACCACCAGGGGGCGCCCCAGCCCACGTGCCTTTTCACTCTCCACCTCCTGGTTCCCCACTGACAGGGCCCAACCCCACGGTGCATCCAATCCAGAGCCCACAGAACCGTTTTTGTGTCCTCACACTGGACCCTGAAACACTGCCAGCTATTGCCACCACCCTCATCGATGTCCTCTTCTACTCCCACAGGTGGGCCTTGTTTGCATTTAGTCTCTTTGTCCTCACATCATTATTCCCTATGCTCTGTCTCACCACCTCCCACCCATCCCTTGATTCTTCAGCTCTGTACCCTGTTCTGTGTCTTTGGTTCCTGGCAGTCTGTGATGCCCATGTGCTCTTCACTGATGTTCGGGGAAGGTCCCAATGCTACAGTTGGAGCCCTCTCCTGTAGTGTGGGCAGAGCTCCCGAGAGCCATGCCCTGATTGGGCTGTCTGGCCTTGAGGTCCTTTGGAACAGGCAGGGTTCATTGTCCTTCCCCACCCCCACCTGCCACCATCAGAAGATCAGAGTCCTAGGACAGGGAAGGAAAGTGACCCAGAGACAGGAGGGCCTGCCCAGGGGTCTCAAGGCTGACTGGGAGGAGATGGAGCAGGCTGGGTACCCAGCAAAGTACCTGAGCCTCCTATCCATTACCAGTGTTCCCAAAGAGGCAGCCTCTGGTGATCCTGGACCCAGTTCCATCACGTTCTTTGCCTTCTCCCTCATCGAGGGCTACATCTCCATCGTCATGGATGCAGAGACGCAGAAAAAGTAGGTGACCCCTGACCGAGGGTGGGCCACAGACCCTAAGCCAGGCCCAGGGAGGAAGGAGGTAGAATGTCAGACTCTGAAGTCACCAGGCCACCTGCCTCCCCAGGTTCCCCAGTGACCTTCTGCTGACCAGCTCCTCGGGAGAGCTGTGGAGGATGGTGCGCATTGGAGGACAGCCCCTGGGTTTTGGTGAGGACTGCTCCCTGTGTGTTGAGGGCTTGGGAAGGGCCTGTGGGGTGACTGGGTTGATCACATGGACCCCTCCTCAACTCTCAGATGAATGTGGGATTGTGGCCCAGATCGCGGGTCCCCTCGCTGCGGCAGATATCTCTGCCTACTACATCAGCACCTTCAACTTTGACCACGCCCTGGTGAGCACCATGGGTTGGGGTAGGGGCTCCCGAAGGGATACTGAGACCCAGAAGGGTGGTGGGACAAGAGATAGTCCCAATGAGCCAGGAAGTTGGGGTGGCCCTGACCCCTTCCTCCCCTGATCTACCCACAGGTGCCCGAGGATGGCATCAGCAGTGTCATCGAAGTCCTCCAGCGACGGCAGGAGGGCCTCGGCTCCTGAGGCCAGAGGGGAACAGCAGCCTCTGTGTTCTTCCCTTACGCCCAGGCTTCCAGAGACTTATCTAAGCTATTTCCTCAAGCTCTGGATGAGCTATCGCCCTCTCCCTCCCCCGTTCATGCAGGGGACCCCTCCTTCAGCTCTCCATATGTAAGCTGCGTGCAGGCACCGGCTCTCACGTGGAAATGCGTGTCTGCCCACACAGGGGAACATGGTGCTCCGGGCTTCCACAAGGAAGCCCTCGATCCATCACTCCCAGCCCAGCCTCGGCGTTTGCACATTCCCTGCCTGAGGCTTGAGACATCCCCCCTCCACACCCTACCCCGGGCCAGCTGCTCCCTGGACAGGGCCCTAATCTCCGTTCTGCCTCTGGCTGGGTTGTCTTCCCTGACGAGGTGAGTTCTGACAGTGCCTCCCCATCATGGGGCCTCCAAGAAAAGTATTTTTACAGCTCTCTCTTCTTTTTTAATCAACTTGTTAATAAAGGGCTTATAGTGACCAGGCTGGGCTGTGGTCTTTGGTGATTGTCTGAGCCTCAGCCACGGGTGCTGTACTGCTCCTCGGACCCGCTGCCCGAGGTCCTGGTCTCTTCGTGTAGCTGGCTTAGGGTTGAGTTCACCTCACCTCACTCAGTTGTCACCTCGACAGTGGTAGCTGAACCATTGCCATTTTAGATGAGGAACCAAAACTTTGAGAGGTGACATGACTTAGCCAAGGTTACATGATTCCCATCCAGGGCTGCCTGGCTCTGAAGTTTGGGCTCTTTCTTCATTCTTTGCTACTCCCAGAATAGCCCAGAAGGTTCTGAACATGGGTAGAAACTCCCAGACCCTCCTGCCTGAGGATCCTCCAGCTGTCCCTGCCACCATGGTTGATCGGTTGTGAAACCTCAAGGAGGGCCCAAGAGCACCTTTTTTCTAGGCTGCTGCCTTATTTCTTTTGGACCACGCCTGACTATAGCTATCTTTCACAGGAGTCCCTGCTGGCCAAGAGATCAGTGACTTCTTGCCACCAGGACTCTCCTGGCATAGTGGTGGATGGAGGCCAGGGCCAGCCAGAGTGGGAACTTGGGAATCCGCACATTGGACTTCTCCAGGCCAGGAGGACAGGGCAGAGGCCTGGAGCCCACCTGGAGCTCACTCTGCTCTTGATGGCTACATGCCTGGGCCAGCATGTCTGGGTCCAAGTTTCCTGTCATGGAGAGGCCACCTCCCTACTCTGAGAGGCTGGGATTCCACTGTGGCCTGGTGGGGCCCCATAGATGCAGCAGGGAGGTTATCAGGTGCCTTCAGCCCAGACCCGCCCGCACCCAGGAAGGGAAGAAGGGTGTGACTTCGTCGTAGTCAGAGCTTGCGGTGGCTCCCCAGAAAAGTCAGAACTGGGACCAGGCCTCTGGCAGTGCGCCCGCCCTGGCCCTGGGGACCTGGGGCCTACAGATCAGAGGAGCTGAGAGCGCATCCTGGCCCGGTAAGTGAGCAGTTGGGGACCCTGGGCCAGCCATTTACGCTTGGCCTCAGTTTCCCCATGTGCATGGAGATCCAGGAGTCAGTTCCTTCAGGATCCTATGCCTCCTGGGTAGGGGGCATTTCTTTATAATTTGTCTTTCGTTTTTGGGGATGTGGGGTCCGACTTCTCCCTGTAGGGTCTGTCATGGACCGTGCCTGACTCGAGTGATGACCTGGACTGGGGTGGGTTTTAGAACCAGAATTATTGGGGCTGTTTGACGTGTAGCTAGAGAGCTCCTGGCCCCATATTCAGCTCTGAGGATCTGTCTACCTGTCTGTCTCCCTCTGAGTCCCTGCTTGATTTCAGTGTTTCTGTCATCCTGGCTTTCAAGCGCCTCAGGCCTCACCCAGTCCCTCAAACCCAACATCAGTTCTTGGGGCTGCCCACGGGACTGGCCTGAGTGAGGGGGCCACAGGCATGCCCAGCGAACTGGTCTGACTCGGACCCCAGCCCAGAGGTCAGCATACCCAGGAGTGTCTCTTCATGTGTGTGTGTCTAGGTACAGGGTTTTTAGCTGCCAGGGTATCCTTGAAGGTCACTGGGCCAGCTCTCGACCTTGAGCGAGTTACAGAAAGATCTGCTCTGGGAGTGCTAGGGAGACCGAGACCCACTGAGGTCAGGGTTGGGCGGGACCTGGGAGACACTCAGCTGAGAAGGGGTACTTTCCAGGGATATGACCCTAGACCTCACCCACTGCTGATGCCTGGATGTTGTCATCAGACAGGTCTTGAGCTGTCCCAGGCTGAGATGGGGGTTCACGGAACCATGTCTTAGTCCTACCCGAGCTCTGGGAAGATTTTAGGGCAAAGAAGTCAGTCTGGTCAGCCCAGGCCTGGGGTTGGGCTCAGCTTGGGCCATTCATGACTGGGGTTGGGGGTGCTCGCTGACATGCAGCCCACGCCCTTGGCCTCCCAGCCCCGGAGCCCCAGTTCATCTGCCCACATGAGCACAGCCACTTCTGGTGCGAGAGTCATGGCCCCAGACTGTGGAGTCTGACTACTTGTCGTCATAAAGACAGCAGCCTGGGCCTGGGAGGGTCCTGCCCACGTCCCTCAGGGAGTGGGAAGGTACTCTCAGCCCTCCAACTGCCAGCCCAGTGTCTGGCATCTGCAGGGAGGATGTGGACCTGGGTGGGGGGCTCTTGGGTGGGTGGGGACAGGAGATGAGGAAACCTCAGGCAGGGAGAGTCAGTGGCTCATTTCCACCCTTTCTGATTTTCATGTCCGTACAGAGGAAGTGACCTCTTAAGTCCTCCTAGAAGATATTTAAGCAGAAATTCAGGGTTTAAAGTCCTTACTCCCACCCCTGCCACGCAAGGCCGTGTGGTTCCATGCTTGTCAAGTTGCTCCAAAGCTGGATTCTTGGTCCTATGTGGAGGGGAGAATAAACTGTACACCTTCTTAACGTTCCACCAGGCCCCAGGATTCCACTGGGTGGGAAGGGACCAAGCAAGAGCCAGGAGGGGGAGCCCAGTTTGCAGCTAGCTGACTGAACATGGGGCTGCTGCTTCCCCATCCCTTTGTCGGTGAGGGGTACCCATTAATTCTTATATTCAACACATTCTTTATCCCCCTTAACACAGGGGTAAATAAAGCACAGAGAAGTGAAGTGTCTTGCCCAAGGTCACACAGTTGGACATGGCAGAACTGGAATTCAAAAAGAAGGCCCTTGGGGAGGTTCCCTGGGGGAAGGGACACTTTAGCTGAACCCTGAGGGATGGTATGATTTTGCAAGATCCCTTGCAATCCCAGCTGTCTGCGTTGGTGGCTGGGTGTCTGCTGCTGGTGGCAACGAGTGTGTGGGCAGGCACGCGAGGCCTAGCCCTGGCTCCTCCCTGACCCTGGGCCTGGCTGAATGGGTGTTTTGGGCAATGGCTGTGATTTTTGTCTCACTTTCCTAGGTCAGCCTTGGTGCTGAGGTTCCAGAGCCAGGGCTGTCTTAAATGGGGCTACCCAGGGCTTCCTTCCCAGAGCTGCATGGGTGTGCATGAGCAGGAATACATTTGCTCTCAGTACAAGCCTTCATGTGCACCTGTGTAGATAAGTTTTTCAGTGGAAAGTGTGTATCCATTTACACATTTGTGTGTCAGTATGTCATGGCATGTGCCTATGTCAGGTCTGCATGCCTGTGGCTGTATGTGCGTCCAATTGTGTACGAGCATCAGTTGTGTGTCTGGCCCCATCTCTGCAAGTGTCCTGTATGTATGTGACGAGGGTGCATCTGTGCCTATGTGCACATGTGAGCACATGTGGTACATGTTTCTGTGTGTCTGCTTTTTTTCCTTTTTCTTTATTGATTTTTCGGGAGAGGGAGAGAGAGATAGAAACATCAATGAGACAGAAAGACCATCAATTGGCCACCTCCTGCATGCCCCCCACTGGGGATGGGGCCCACAACCTGGGCATGTGACCTGACCGAGAATCGAACCAGCAACCTCTTGATGCATGGGTCAACGCTCAACCAGTGAGCCACACTGGCCGGGCCTGTGTGTCTATTTTTGACTGTGGCTGGGAAGTTGTGTTTTTTTTATTTTTTTTATGTCCATGTGTATGTACACGTGCATCTGCATTTTTTGTGTTTTTATGTTCACGCATGTGCCCATGTGCACCCTACTGTCCACTTTCCTTCCCTGAATCCATATCACTTCGCAGGGCCCTGATTCAGCCCATGGCTGTCCTCACCTGTGTTGCTGCCCCAGACTTCCTGCTTGTCTCTCTGCCTAGGTCTCCCTCTCATCTGGCTGCACAAGCATGTTGTCCCCAGCACAATCCTGGTGTGTCCCCTCATTCCATGATCACCAGCCTTCGGCAGTCCCCTCCTCAGGAAGTCTGCCTTTGAGACTTCTCAGCCTGCACCAGCTTTCCTGGCCGCCCTGCCACTCAGTGCCTCACCCTAGACTTGTTCTCTCCTACAGCCAGGAACCTGCCCTCCTGGCAGCCTCATTTCCTGGCCTTTAAGTTGAGGTGAGTATTTTCCAAGTCAACAAACAAGAGCCCTGGGACAGGTGCTAACCGGCTATGACAGGAGGGCAGTGGAAGGCCCTCTGACTCTCCTGCCCCTTTGTAGCCGACTGCTTTCCAGCCCCTTGGTTTTCCTGGGGTTGCTGTGTTGTTAAGCTCTACCTTTAAAAAGTGGTTTTTAATTGAAATTCACATAATATAAAATTAACCATTTTAGCCCTGGCTGGTGTGGCTCGGTTGGAGTGGCATCCTGTATACCAGAAGGTCACGGGTTCGAGTACCAGTTGGCACATACCTAGGTTACAGGTTCAATGCCCTGTCAGGGTGGGTACAGGAGGAAACTGATCGATGTCTCTCACATTGATGCTTCTCTCTCTCTCTCCCTTCTTCCCTCTCTAAGATCAATAATAATAAAACATTTTAAAGTGAATAACTCAGTGGATTTAGTGTATTCACAATGTTGTGCACCCATCACCTCTATCTAGTTTCAAAACATTTTCATCACCCCCAGAGGAAACCCTGTACCCATTTGCTGTCCCTCCCCATGCCTCCTATGTCTCTATGGATTTCCCTACTTTTGACATTTCATATAAATGGAATCATATAATATTGACTTTTGATGTCTAGACTATATCACTCAGCATGTTTTTAAGGGGTATCCAGGTGGTAGCATGTGTCAGTACTTCATCCCTTTTCATGGCTGAATAATATTCTATTGTACAAATGCACCACCTTTTAAAACCATTATCCATTGATGGGTATTAGGGTTCTCACCTTTTGCCTTCTTGACTGTGGAGGTGTCCAGCATTTTCCTTTAATACAGTATTGTCTGCTTCTCTTCATTACACATTCAATTTGTGGACAGGGTGCCCTGGACCCCTGACCCCTTGAATGGCCACCAGTAGTCCTCTGGACAGCAAGCTTTGATGGCCTTTTCTCCCCTCGGAGCTGCAGGATTTGTTTCTTTTTTTCAGATCGAGATAAATGCCTAGAATTTCCTCAATGTCTCTAGCGAGATGGGGAAGAAAGCAGGTTTTTCCAGCACCTGTCCTAGCTCATTTCCTCCAAACCAGTAGTTGGTATCCCCACAAGTGAGTCCCGCCTCTGTGTCCCCAGGTCCCCTTGGGACCAGGGCTGTCGTTTGTAGACAGCCCCTTGGGGACCTTGGCCAGTTCCCCCTATCTGTCACCAGTTTTCTTCTCTGTTGAGCCAAGTCTCTGAGCTTGTGCTGCACTTACTGTGCTCATGCAGCTGGTACCAAGAAAAGTCTCCGAGCCCTGTCCGGTTTTGCTCAGTGGTTAGAGCATCGGCCCGCGGACCAAAGATCTCTCTCTCTCTCTCTCTCTCTCTCTCTCTCTCTTTCTCTCTCTCTCCTTCCCACTCTGACAATAAATGTAAAAATATCCTCGGGTGAGGATTAAAAAAAAAAAAAAAAGGCTCTGAGCCCATCCTACTTCCTCACTTCCTCCCTTCATGCCCTCGCCTCCTGCCCCCATCCTCATGCTGCCGCTGGACTAAGGACTCCCTCTGCTAGGGCCAAGAAACCAACCAGCAGAAGAGACTGCCATCATAGCCTGTGTAGCTGGGACACGCCATGTTGTTGGCTTGGGCTTCAAGCAGGGAAATCACTCACCCTCCCTGGCTGCTCCAACCATGTTCTCGCCTCGCCCAGTTGGCAGGACCCCACCCCCACCCCATGGGTTGGGGGAAGGTAGATTTCCACAGTGACAGACCCATGACATCCTGGCTCAGAAACCCTGACAGGTGAGGCAGGCATGTCTCCTGGGACTGACACTAGTCCTGGGAAAGGATTCTGATTAATCCTGCTCAGGACACAGGTGCATTGCTAGACCCTGGGGTACCACCAAGTCCAGGCTGGGTGCTGTCCCCTCCTGTGGCCTGGGGCCAGGAATGGGCAGCTTAACAAATGGGTTATCCAGGCCCCTCTACATGCTGGATGTTGGCGTGTGTGTCTATTCACCATTCAGAACCTGGATAGTAAAAGGCACTCATGGTCATTTCACTCTGTAAATCTTTCTTGCCAATTTATCCCCAACACCAAGGCTGGTGCCCGACACATACAGTGAGTCACTCAAATATAGGTCGAATGAGGGACTAAAAAGCAACTGTGATTTGTCTGTTTTTCAAAATGGATTGTCCCTTCACATGAAGACTGGCCCCTTTCCCTGAGACTGTCAGGTGTCGTTTATGTAGAATTTGTTCTAAAGTGAGTTATTTAAAGGAAGCAGGAGAAATGCCTTGGCTTTTTCTTTTTCAGTTCATTTTCCAGGAAAACGTGAACATCCGCAGTGAGTAAAAGAAGAGATTTTTTGAGCTGGCTTTAGAAAAATTATTCGTAAAGGGAAAGGTCAGCGTCTTTGACATCAAGGCTTCCCCAAAAAGAGATCATGTGCTTTGGTGTATTGTGAGAGATATGATTCTGATTTCCTTGGGGAGAAGTGATCAGAGAGGGCTTAGCAAAGGCTCCAAGAAAACCTGCTTCCGCCTGGCAGCAGGTGGGCCTGCACTTCTGGAGGCCTTGCTGCAGGGATACTAGATGTAGGATGGGGACGTGTCTGGGTCCTGCACCCCGAAGGCCTTCCTGGGGCTCCTGCAGATAGTCACACCCATATGGCCATGCATTCGTCCATTCACTCAGGATTTAGTGAGCCCTTGCCACCTTCAGGGCTTGTGGTGTGTTCCAGAGAAGGGTGATGGGAGTCACTACACAGTGCACACCCTTGGAATTTACAGTCTGGAAGAGACAACCCCACGGTTATAAAAATGTACAACTCTGAAGAGTGCTACAGAGGGTACTATGGTACTCTGAAAGGGTCAGGGGAGCAGGGACAGGAACCAGCCTGGGGTGGAGGGAGGTCAGGAAGGGCTTCCCTGAAAAGGTGAAGCTTGGACTGGACCTTGATGTCCAGGTGGCAGTTGAGTAGGTGGAGTGTTCGGATGATGGGAACAGCATGTGCAGAGGCCCTGGGGTGAGGATTCAGCTCCTCTGAGGGACTGGAGAGAATCAGGAAGGTGGCAGGCTACAGAGGTATGAGTGAGGGTAGGGAGGTGAGCAGGTCCCAGTGGCTGTGGTAATGACTTTGACCTTACCCGAAAGGCAATGGGACACCTAGGGAGTGAACGAAGCTGTGTTGTACAAGTCCCTCCAGCGGGGCTGCAGTGGCTCCATTTCCCTCTCCCTCCTTGCCTTCCTCCCTCTCTGGTAGTTTCCAGCCATACCTGCTATTCTCTGAACTGGTCTATAGGGTCTTGCTTGCACGTGGCATCATGCAGTTATCTCAACATGAAATTTATAGCATCTCTCTCTTTTTTTTTTAATCCTCACCCGAGGACATTTTTGCATTTATGTTCAGATAGAGTGGGAGGGAGAGAGGAAGGAAGAGAGAGAGAGAAACATCGATGTGAGAGAGACACATCAATTGGTTGCCACACACAACCCCACCAGGGCGGGGACAAACCGCAACCGAGGTACATGTCCTTAGCGGGAACCGAACCTGGGACTCTGGTCCGCAGGTTGACGCTTTAACCGCTGAGCCAAACTGGCCAGGGCTCTTTTTCTGTATTCTGCATTCAGCGAAAGCATTATCTTTCCAGACTTGCAGAAATACCGACCTCCTCAGCCAAGCCCTTCTTGCCTCTGGCAGCGCCTCCTACCAGGGAGTGGATCTCCTGTCTCCCCACTATGAGAGCCCTTTGTATTCCTTTTGGTTGAGCCTTTGGTCCCTCCCAGCTGTGTGACCTTCTGCCAAGTACCCCACCTCTCAGGCCTCAGTTTCCCCATCTACAGGAAGAGACAATGACAATGATCTTTGCCTCATAAGGTAGTTGTAAGGATTCAATGAGCTCACCCATGTGAGATGCTCAGAACCAGGTCCAGTGTACAGAAGAGCTCCGGAAATGTGCCGATTATCACCACTGGGCATGTGCCAGGGCACCAAAACATTTCTGGCAAGAATGTGATGTTTCAAAATAGGCATTGCATGTTGTCATCATGAGAAAATACAGGACTCATTGGACTTCCTGATCCTCGGTTAATGTTTAGGGTTATTTTATTTACGGTGCTTAGGGCCACTAAGGGATCCCAAGGGCCTCTGTAGGGTTGTGGACTCTTTGTTGTCATCTCACCTGTCCCCTCACCTTGTAGAGAGGCCCTGGACTCAGAGAGGGTGACCAGGGGTGGGGGTGGGGGTTGTTTCAGGCCAGCCAGAGAGTGGACAGCAGGGCAGGCCCTCATCTCCTGTCATTCCACTTGAGAGGAGATGTGTCAGCCCCCACCTGCCTACTCCTTGACTTGAGGGTTCCCTGCAGAAGGGCCTGGTCTAGGTATAGCTCTAGGGTAAGGCGGACAATAAAAGGTTTCTCTCATAACTGAGTTCTTTCTCTCTCCTCTGCTGCACTTCCCTGAATATGTGTTTGGGCCCCTTGGAAGGGGGATTCGTTATTTAATTTGGGGGAGTCACTGGGAGCAGGGGTACATGGCTCCTCACACCTGTGGACACACCAAATTCCAGAAGAACAGTGAAGCAGTTCTTAAGCCAAAGGATCCCCTAGCCCAGGATGACCTCACTGACCTCATGGGTAGAATCTTGCTCACCCTGGGTTTATGTAACATGTCTTTCCCAACCATCCTCAAAGCCACCCTGTGACATAAGCAAATGTGAGCCTTCATCTGCCCCAGTGGCTGGAGGGTAAGTGTTTATCAAGTACCTGCTAAGGGCCAGGTGCTTACCAGCTTAATCTCACTGATTATGCTGAACATCCTGCAAGGCATCACTTGCCACTGTATTTTGAAAAATTGGGATACAATTCACATACCATCAAATGTAGCATCTTAAAGTGCATAATCAGTGGTTTTTCATGTATTCACAAGATTGTGCAACCATAACCACTACCTAATTCAAAAACATTTCATCACCCTAAAAGAAACCCTGTACCCATGAGCTATCACACTTCATCCCCAGGTCCCCCCAGCCCCTGGCAACCACTAATCTACTTTCTGTCTCTATCGATTTACTATTCTGGACATTTCATATAAAAGGGAATCATAAAATATGTGACCTTTTGTGACTGGTCATTTTCACTTAGCATAATGTTTTCGAGGCTCATCTGCATCACAGTATATATCAGTACCTTACTCTTTTTCATGGCTAAATAATATTCTATTGTATGGATAGACCACAATTTTTAAATCAATTTTCTATTGGTGGACATTTGGGTTACTTCCACTTTAGGGCTATTGTAAATAAATGCTGCTATGAACATTTGTGTGCAAGTTTTTGTGTACACGTACATTTCCAATTCTCCTGGTATACACCTAGGCATGGAACAATTGGGTGTCTGACATCTCTATGTTTAACCCTTTGAGGAACTGCCAGATTGTCTTCCAAAGTGACTGCACCATTGTACATTCACACCAGTAGTGTACCAGGGCTCAGATTTCTCCACATCCTCTCCAGCACTTTTTATTGTCTTTGATTATAGCCACTCTAGTGGGTGTGAAGTGGTATCTCACTGTGGTTTTCTATTTCCATGATGACTAATGATGTTGAGCATCTTTTCATGGTCTTATTGGTCATTTGTCTCGCTCTTTCGAAGAAATGTCTGTTCGAATCCTTTGCCCATTTTTAAAATGTGTATTTTCTGTTTGTTTGGTTTTTTTGCCAGAGAACTTTCCTTCAGTTTTTACATGGGCTGTGGTGGAGGTAGTGGGGTAGCACCCGCCGGTCTGAATCAGGTTGGGGATGTTCCTTGCTCCACGAGAATGATTCCTGACCACCTTGCTGTGAGTGGCACAGCTCACACAATAATACACTTTCACATACAGCTTGGGAAGCACATAGGTGTCGAAGACACTTACTTCGGAAATACCCCTAATGGCTGCGGCCTTTACTGTGTTTCAAATGATGAACTTCTTAATGACCTTGTCCTTGGGCAGGCATCGGGTGCAGCTGGGGCAGCAAATCGGTTGCACATGGCTGCAGCCTTTTTTGGCAAGATCGTTGTTCCTTCTTTTCTTACTCATTTTGGAAGGAAGGACCCAAGCGAGGTTCCTTTGCCCATTTTTGAATTGTGTTGTCTCTGATTGATGAATTGTACCACTGCTGTGTACAGAATGGAAAACAGGTTCAGAAAGGGGATGTGACTGAGTCAAGAACACTGATTGGCCTGCACCTCCCATCCAGCAGGCCAGGGCCATTCTCTCTCCACCCAGTGAACCAATGGAGTGGCCTACAATTGTGACCCGTCCCCCAGGCACCCCAGATTCTGTCCTTTCAGCGGGTGGGCCAGGAAGCGAGGAAGCAGCAGTTCTGAGGAATCAAGTGGCCCTCTCTTCCCCTCCAAATCACGCGGAACTGGCTGACGTGGCCCGGGAAGAGGGGACAGCCCGAGCCCTGTGGTCAGGGAACCTATTTATACTGACTGGGCCATGTTGCAAGCTCTTCCTGCTGGCGATAGGGACGTCACTGGGCGCTGACCTCACCAGAAACGCTGACGCATCTTCCCTTCTCATTTTGCTCAAATGGGCAGCCGAGCCTCCTCATCTTGGGGCCACTCCATACCCTCCTGCCCATCACTGCTCCCTCCCACCTAGCTCTGCAGTCTCCTCCAGTGTCCCTACTTCCTGTAGCCCTCCAACCACACCCTCTTCTTCTTCTTCTTCTTTTTTTTTTTATCCTCACCTGAGAACATTTATCTTTGGATGGAGAGGGAGGGAGGGAGGGAGGGAGGGAGGGAGGGAGGGAGAGAAACATCAATGTGAGAGAGACACATCAACTGGTTGTCACCAACACAACCCCAACTGGGCCGGGGACAAACTGCAACCAAGGTATGTGCCCTTAGCGGGAATTGAACCTGGGTCTCTCTGGTCCACGGGCCGAAGCTCTAACCACTGAGCAAACTGGCCAGGGCCCACACCCTCTTTTTGTAAGCTTTTATGGGCGAAATGGTGTTCCTAAGTCCAAACATCTGTACCTCAGAATGTGAATATATTTGGAGATGGGCCTTTGAAGAGGTGATTAAGGTAAAATGAGGTCATTGGATGGGCCCTAACCCCATATGACTGGTGTCCTTATAATAAGAAGAGATTAGGACATATATGCACACAGAGACAGAGGGAGGACCATGTGAGGAGATAACAAGAAGGCGGCCATTTGCAAATCAGGGAGAGAGGCTGCAGGATGAAATTGACCTTGCTGACACTTTGACCTCAGACTTCCAGCTCCAGGACCATGTCAAAATACATTCCTATTGCATAAGCCATCCAGTCTGTGATATTTCAGCATGGCACCCCAAGCAAAACGATATACAAGTTCTTCTTGCCTTTGGTAGCCACCGTCCCCAGGGCCTGCAAGGGCACCTCAATAGGCCACGTGCTCAGAGCATGGTCTTTCAAATTTGACAGCCCTGGTTTGAATGCCCACTCCTCTTAAAGGTCATCACACATAGTGACCTCAGTCAGGGTGGCTTCATGTCTCTAGGCTTCAGAGGCCTCTTTATTTTTTATTTTGTATGTTTTTATTGATTTTTTTAGAGAGAGAGAAATATTGATCAGCTGCCTCCTGCATGCCCCTCACTGGGGATGTGGCCCACAACCTGGGCACATACCCTGACCAGAAATTGAACTGGCAATCTCTTGGTGCATGGGTTGATGCTTAACCACTGAGCCATACCGGCTGGGCCAGAGGCCTCTTTAAACCGTGGGGACAATTGGCCTCCTTGGGCCATGGGGAGGAGAGAATGATGTAAAGCACGTGGCTGTCCCCCAAAGGTGGAGATTGGTCAGCAGTAGCTGAGAGGGGCCAGCAACTCCTCAGCCAGCCCTGGCCCTGGAGGAAGGCCCTGAGCTTCTCTTAATTTCAATTTCCTCGTTAAAGGGAGCCAACACACCCCTGCCAGGCCGCTCCCCCTCATGGGGCTGTTGCAAAATGAGGTCAGGGATGTGAAATGAAGAAGGACCCCAGCTTGGCATGAGCACAGGAAGCAGCCTTGCAGGGGTGGGCACAGAAATGAGGAATTTAGCGGAAGCAACATTCTCAGGATGAGAATCCAGAACTGGCCCTTGGGGGTGGTGATGGTGGGGTGATTGGGCCTGGTGGGGTGATTGGGCATGGTGGGGTGACTGGGCATGGTGGGGTGACTGGGCATGGCACAGTGAGCACCATGCTGGGTGCCACAGAGTGGGTGAAGGCTGAGGAGCTGCCTCACTGGCACGGGAGTGCTTCTGATTCTGCCCACTGCTGGAACCTCAGCTCCTAGGAGTGGCTGGGACAGAGTAGGGGCAAAATTTGTTGACCGAATTGAGGATTGATGACAGTCATCTCTACAGAGGGGATAGCAGGTGGGAGGAACTTTGGTGGTCATGATGGGTGCCAGGGGTGGAGACGGACAGGAGAGCATCTGGCCCTGGCTGCCTGGGCTTTCCTTGTCCAGGCTCCAGAGGCCCAACTGGAGTAGCTCCGGCCTCCCTGGCAGTCCCCGGATGCTCCCCCCTGGCTCCCAGCCTTCTTCCCCGCCAGACTCCTGAGGGCACAGGCCAGTGACCTTCTTCCACGTCTGGTAAATGGGCTGGGACCACCAGGCATGGTCTGCAGGCCTGGTCCAAACCCTCTGCCTTCTTGTTTGCCCTCACCTGGGCCTCAGTTTACCCCATGGTGGAGTAGCTGGTTGACTAGGCGGGCATTGTCGCCAGGGCCCCTTCATTCTGACGTTCAGAGGTCTGTGAGACACAGAGGACCAACCCATGATTGCTATCTTTCAGAGAAAGTGAAACCTGGTCCCCAACCGTCACCACAGCGACTCCCCCTCCCCGGTTTCCCCTCTGAGCTCATTGCTTCCCCATCTCCTCATTCCCCCTCCCACAGTGGCCCCCCTCCCCACCCCAGCTACTACTTGGAATCAGACTTTCATCTTTCCTTTTTCTGTCACAGAACTTTTGCCTTTTATGTCCATGATGGCATCAGCCCTGCGAGGTGGGCTGGGAAATGCTTTTCAAATCCTCATTTTACAGGTGGGGCCTCTGAGGCCCAGAGAGGTTAAGCAATACACCTCTCAGGTCACACAGCATGTCAGTGGGCTTAAACCCTTATCTCCTGTTTCTCTTGCTCTAAGAGCCTGGTTCTCCCCCAGAGGACCCTGTCTGTAGAGAAGGGGCCTGGCTGCGGCAACAGGTCAGGCTGCTTGTGTGCAAGGTGCATGGTGGGGTGAAGGAGACAGCCAGGAGCCCTGCTGGGGGATGCAGGTCCTGGGGCCAGAACCACAATCTCGGGGCTGCCAGCCTGGGTCTGGCTGTGTGCCCAGAGCCCAGTGGTTTCCGCTCACAGATGTCCCAACAGCCCCGCGGGAGGGCGGGAAGGGCACTCAAGAAGGAAGATGTCTTGCTGCCCTCAGCCCCAAACCACAATGGCCTGTGAGGCTGATGGCTCCTGGACCAAGACTGAGCAGTGGGCCCTCAAGGGGCCCAGCTGGCAGACGTTCCTCTCTATCCCCAGCACAGCACCTTGCAGATGGCACGGACCCCCTTGTTTCCCGCTCACCCCAGGAAGGCTGAGGCTGCAGTTTGCATCATCCTTGGGCGTGGGGCTGACCTCGAAGAATGAATTCGAAGAAAACAGGAGGAGGAGCAGGCATGCCACTGTGCCCAGCGCCCATTGGTCGCCCGTGGAAACTTTGGTTTTTGGGGTCATGTTCCCAGAAGGCCTGCCCTCCCCCCTCCCCCTCCCCACCCACCTCACGAGGTGTTGGCCAATCACTCTGGCAGGCAATAAAGTGGCTCTCAGCCCGCAGGGCTCCCAGCCGGGAGGTGTCATCCCCAACAGGCACAGGCCAGAGCTTGGACACCCAGCATGTGGGCACAGCTTATGAGGAGGACGCTGCTCAGTAAGTACTTCCTTCCTCCCCACCAACACCCACTTGCTGTGAACCACGGGTGCTAGCGGGGAGCAGGGATACCCTCTGTCCTCCGGGAGCTGGGGAGACCCGGCACCTGGCAGAAGGATGCTGAGACTGAAAGAGAACCAGGAGGTCAGGCAACAAGAGGGGTCCACTGAGAACACGGCATCTTCATAGGGTGGGGAATGGGTATCCTAGGAGGGCTTCCAGAGGGAGGCAATATAGAGGCAACTCAGAAAGCCAGGGGAGTGAAGGAAGGGGCGGATTGGGTGAGAGACTGGGGAAGCAGGAGGGAGGTGGGAGTCGTTCTGTGTAGAGGAGGAAGCTGCAAAAGCTGAGCAGAAAAATGGTGCAATGTCTGGAGGGGCCTCCTTCTTGCCTTGATTTGCAGGGTCTGGGATGAATAGACACAGTCAGCCAGGCCCAGGGGCCCTGGAGCCCACACAATCACACAGCGCACATAGCCACACCCACAGGGTGACACACACAGAGCCATGTGACATCATCCAGAGCCCTCAATCTTGCCAACCTGGGAACCCCTGCGTGCAGTCCTGGGCCCCACGGTAGATGAGGCACAGCTGATCCCTTGAGCCTCACACAGACCTGGACACACACCAGGCAGATGCCCTGGTCCCACATGCATACTCAGAAGATACCTGGGGAGGCGGTGAGGGGAGCCCTGTGGTCCCTGCGCCTGAGAGCCCAGCCCCTCCACCCTCCTCAGCAGCATCTTCCCCAAGGGCCGGATGATTCTTAAGAAGGGAACATGGTGTCACTGCCTTCCGGGCCCGTTGCACCACATGCCCCTTCCGACTACGTGGCTGCTGGTGAGTGGGGGGAGGCAGGCGAGCGGTAATTGTGCCCAGCTCCCCCCCAGCTCATTCCGACAGGCTCATAGCATCCCCGTGGGGGGCCTGACAGGAGTGGCCACTGATGGAGAGAGGAGGAAGGCTCAAGGTTAGGGGACAGGCTGGCCTTGTGTAACTTGGGCAACTCTTCAGCTCCTTGGTTTTCCTGTCGGTAAAGCGGGGTCTGTCACAGGGGGCCCAGGGTCCTGTGGCAATAGCTATCCCTCAGCCTGGAGGTCTGGTAGAGAGCAGCCCCACCTGGTCCACCCCATGTCAGCTCCTGAGGTTGGCAGGTTGGTAGGCACAGGAGCTTCAGCCAGGCCCTACAACCTCCTCTCAAAGGCCTACTTGGTGGATCGCAGCCACTGTTTCAGGTGCTGGGCAGTAACTCACTGGACAGGTGTCGGTGGCCCTGGCAGGTGCTCCTATGCACATGCAATGCCCAGTGTCCCCCTTCCATGGCACAAAGCCTAGGTGAGGGGTTGCACCCTCCCCGCTGAAAGCCATCCATCTACATGGCTTCCTCACCAAGTCAGGTGACACCCCCTTTTTCTGCCCCAGGTCTGATCCTCAGACTCCTGTTCCTGAGCCCAGTGGTCATGGGCAACTGCTCAGGCGATGGCCAACAGCTCCTCAATCAGCTGCAGAACCAGGCGAAGATCATGCAGGACCCCAGCGTGCTCCTGGACCCCTATGTGAGCACCAGCCCCTGGGGGCATCTGAGTCTCAGAACTTTGGGGTTAGGGCAGGAGTGAGCCCCGGAGAGAATCAGGCCCAACTCCCACTTGCTCAACCCCTACACAATATGGGGATGGGAGTGGGGAAACCGAGTCCCTGTGTTATTCCTGAACCATGTCAAACATCCATCTAAGGCCTAACCCTGAAAAATGCAGCTTCCCTAGCTCAGTGGCCTGGAGTGTGAACCCCAGCTGAGTGACCTCATTTCTCCATTTGTCCAGCACCCGTATTGCACACCTACCACATGCCTTGTTCTGGGCTCCAGAGATGCAGCAGTTCTGCCCTCCTGAAGCTCAGTCACCTTCTCACTGACACTCCCACACCACAATCACTGCCTATGCGGTCACCCCACCAGGCCCCCTCCATCCCTCTGACCCTGCCTGCAATGACTGGGGAGTCCCCTCCCCTCTTGGGCCTCAGTTTCTGGATCTGTACAATGGGCAGATTGGATAGGGGGTAGGCAAGGTCAAGCATTTCAAGGTTGACCAGAGCAGACGTGTGTGTGTGTGTGTGTGTGTGTGTGTGTGTGTGTGTGCATGTGCGCGCGAATGCATGTGTGCAGCTCCAGCACTCACCCCGATTCTCCTTTCTCCCCAGATATCCACCCAAGGCCTTAACGTGTCTAAACTGGGAGCGCACTGCCTAGAGCGCCCCGGGGTCTTTCCCAGCAAGCATGACCTGCAGGGGCTCAGCAGGAGGGGCTTCTTGCAGACCCTCAACACCAAGCTGGGCCATGTCCTACACAGACTGACTGAGTTCCAGCAGGACCTCCAAGTGCAGACTTTGCTGAGGGCGAAGATGAATATCATTGGGATCAGGAACAACATCCACTGCATGACCCTGCAACTTCAAGGCTCCTCGGACGTGGTTGAACCCACTCCGGCAGAACTGGAGATCTCGCCACTGCCCACCCTCGCCTCAAATGCCTTTCAGCGCAAGTTGCAGGGCTGCCAGTTCCTGCACGGCTTCCACCGCTTCATGCACTCGGCGGGGCAGGTCTTCCACAAGTGGAGGGAGACCCCAAGCCGGAGGAGCCGGAGACACAGCCCCCGACGGGCCCTGAAGAAGGAGGCTCACAGGGTGCAACCCTCCATGAGGGGCAAGAGACTCATGCCCAGGGAGCAGCTGCCCCGGTAGCCTTAGGGGCCCCAAAGCAGGTGAAGGATCAGCAGGTGCTCAGGATGGTGCCTCCCTGGGGTCTCCGAACCTGCGTCCCATCTCTTAGAAGTGCACTTTAAGGGGCGAGAGCCAGGTAGGCTCCTCCACCTCCTCCTGGACTGGGGAGATAGGATCAGACTATTGTGCCTCCCCAGCCCTGAGTTCCCCAGTCTCAGTTGGGTGGCTGGGTCAGGCCACGCGGGGCCAACTTTCCATTGATTCAGGGGTCTGATGACACAGGCTGACTCATGGCCAGACTGACCGCCACCCCCCACTCGGCTCCCCGGAGGTCTGCCGGCTCTTCCCTCTCATGACTTGCAGAGCAGTTACCCCCAGACTTCCTCCTTTCCGTGGCGGCATGGTTCCGAGGGGGAGGTCAGAGCCTGAGCTGGCCTCCTATGCCTCATGCCAGTCTCAGGCCACACACCTGGACGTCTGGGTGATCTCACTTTTGGCAGCTATGACAGGGGCAGAGTGTCCTGGAAGAAGCACTGATCTAGGAAGTTCAAGAAAAGGGGCTCAGGTCCCAGCCTGGCCCCTAACGCTGTGTGGCCTCAGGCAGGCCACTTTACCTCTCTGGACCTCAGTTTTGTCCTTGTGAATCGAAGGGGTTGGGGAGTGTGTAAAGCCCTCTCTGCCTGTCAGCTGCTGGGACTCATCGACATAGGACGGATTTCACATTCTTTCCATAAATTGGGACACGCGGTGCAAAGGGACAGGGGTGCAGACTAAATTCTTTGTGGGAGACCTCTCAGCGCCTGGAAGCGCCTGGTCTTGGGTTCTGCTGACTGCTCCCCCTGGTGGTGAGTCTTGAAATGTTCTCATACTGAAACCATTGTCCTAAAGGTTTTTTGACCAATTCCTTGGAGGGACATGATTAATTTATCAATTTTTATCAGTTTTTTTTTTTTTTTTAATTTATGAAGCTTATTTATGATGTGTATTTAATGTTAATATTGTGCTAACAAATATTTAAAACTTGCCTGGTTTCTAAAGCCTCTGTGTCTCTGTTGCCTGGTGGGAGAGGATTTGGGGGAAGCTGGTCTCTTGGAGAGTGGTTGGTTCCTAGGTGGCGAGGCCACAAGTGTCTACCACCTGCGGACTGGACTGGAGCTCCTTGCCTATCCAGGAAGGGAAGTCTCATGCGCCAGTCTGACCGTGGGGGGTGTCTAAATGCAGTTTGTTGTGTCTGACCCTGGCTGGTTTGGCTCAGTGGTTAGAATGATGGCCTGCGGACCAAAGAGTCATGGGTTCGATTCCAGTCAAGGACACGTACCTCAATTGCAGTTTGTCCCCCGCCCTCAATGGGGTCGTGCAGAAGGCAACCAGTCGATGTGTCCCTCTCACATTGATGTTTCTCTCTCTCTCTCTCTCTCTCTCTCCCTCCCTTCCACTCTACCCGAAGATAAATAGAAAAATATCTTTGGGTGAAGATTAAAAAAAAAGAGTTTGTTGTGTCTGAACAGGTCTCCCTTGAGACACTGGGGACTAGGGCCGTTGGGGTTTGGGAGCACATGGGGAGGGATGCAGGCTGGAGTATCTGGCTTGCTCTGGCCCTGTGGGTATGTGCCTGGGGTATGTGTGCTGAGGTGTTGCATGAAATGAACAAGATAACAGATCCTGCCTCAGATGCGGCCTATGGCCTGGTATTTGTTTGAAACTGTTTCCTGAAGAGCCTAGAGGGGTGGGGAGTCCATCTGGCCCCTGGAAAACTGGGCTGCCTCTCGATGCTCAAGACTCCACCTCAGGAGGAGCACTTATAGGCTGATGGATGATGTTCTAAGGCAGAAGCTACAAAGGAACGGCTAATGGAAGCCTATGAACTTGACCTTGATCAGTCCCTGGCTACGCCTACTCCCTGGGATTGGGGCCAAAGGTGGGAATAGGACTTAATATCAGATGTGGAAGAGAGCCCCGTGCAGGACTCTCTCTAAGAGAGATGATCCACTTGGCAGATGAGAAGACAGAGGCTCAGAGAGTTTGAGTCACCTGACCATGTCCTCAGAGCAATTTACTGCAGTCGAGCACATTTTGAATGCAGGTCCATTAGATGCTAGGGTGGGAGCATCTTCCTGTTACCCTTTGGCCTCTATAACTCTGCTGACAATTTCACGAGTCCCTGAGGGCACAGAGCTCCCGGTGAGGGGGCAGATAAACAATAGACAAACCAAAGCACTAACAGGAGCATCTGAGATTGGAGATCAAGCTCATCAAAAATAAAGCAGGGTGATGTAATAGTGAGATGATGTGGGTGGTCAGGGTGGCATCTGGAAGAGGTGACATCCGCTCTGCAACCTAAAGGATACAGGTGCCTCCAAGTGGCACAGTTAAGGCAAAGGCTCTGAGCATTCAAGGATCAGAGTTACCAAAAAAGCCTGGGGAGGGGAAATATCTTGCTCAAGATCACATTGCAGGGCTCAGGCTAGAACTCTCAGCCGCTGACTCCCAACCAGCAGTCTTTCTGAGCAGCTGCCCAAAGTATTCCAGGTTATTTACCAAGTACATAGTGAGGGTTCTCCACTGCTCCCCACCGGACTCTCCCTTGCACTTGGGTTCCTGCTACACTGGCCACCTTTGGGCTGCCAAAATGCCCAGGGTTCTCTCCTCCTACAAAGCCTCCACCTATGCTGTTCCCTCTGTCTAGAATGCTGTTCCTTATTCTTTTTGTGGGTGTATCCTCAACAGTTTTTCTCCAGCACCCATGGTCTGGGTTCAGCAACGTGGTTATTTGTTCCCTCAAAACTGCTCCATCAGGGGTCCTCACCAGTATGGTGTTTACATTACTGTCCACTTCCCTCACTAGCCTGGAGCTGCCACGGATAGAGACCACATGTGCGTCCCTTTGCTCTGTCCCAGCACCCAGCAGTGTCTGCACTGAGCAGGGGCTCAGTGAGGAGCAAGACAGAAGAGGGCCTGAGAGAAGTCAAAGCACTGAGGAGTGTGCCAACCAGTCTGGCCCAGACAGGTGCCACCCAGGTGCTGTCAAAAGCAGGAGGCTTTTTTCTGCCCTGCCCCAGCATGGGCGTGGGGGGCTTTCCTGTTGCTGGGCTGCTGGGAAGCTGTGGGTGGGAGGTGGCAGACACCAAAAACCAGGCACTCTCGAGTTCTCAGAGCGGAAGGAGAGCTGATGCTGCGGCAGGTGTGTGGTTGCCCACGGAGAGGGCAGAGGTTGGTCTGCGGAGGAAGAGCTGGGAAGCCCAGGGTGGCTGTACCCCACCTCTGGCTGGGCCCCTTGCCAGCCCCCCCATTCTGTGGAAAAGCCCCAGAAAAGGAGTCTGGGATTGGCTTTGAGCTGGAGCAGCACCACACCCTAGGAAACAGATCAAGGATTTCTAGACTCTGGGGTCCCATCTGTGAGGATTTGCCACCTCCACACTGTCTCCTGATGAGACAACAGCTGTAGGTGTTGCCAGATCATCCTCCTCAGTCTGATTCTCTCCAAGCCCACATCCACAGACCCAGCTGCCAGGAACACTCGTGGGTGCCTCCAGGCGAAGCTCACCCCACAACCTCACACCTTTCTGCTTCTTATTTGCCCCCACTGAAGTTCCAGAACCCCAAGCCATCTCCTTCTCTTCCTTCAGCCCCTCCTCTCTCCCCACTGATCACAAAGACCTAAACTCCATCTCTGGCACATGTCTTCTTCTCTCCCTACTGCCAGCCAGGTCCTGGCTCCCTGGACACAGTCTAAAATCTCACCATCATGCCTTCTTGTCACAAACCTTTGATGACTCCCTCCTGTCTGACTGCTTGTGGCATCAGTTCCAAATTCCTCATCGCAGTATGCCAGGCCCCTGCTCTGTGGTCCAGCCAGCTCTGCCAGCTCATCTCAGCATACTCAGCTGGCCCCAACACATCCAAGCTACCTACCCTCCCAATGCCTCCCACCTGCCCACCTGGAGGGTCAGCTCAAATGTCTCCGTTTTGATTCCCCCATCCAGAGGGGTTTGTGGGGTTTCCCTGGGCTGTGGGCAGCTTGCAGGGGGTTATATCTGGAATCTGCATTTGGAGTCAGAATGACCCTCTCTGATCCGCCCCCCACAACACACATGGCGGTGAGATAGGGGTTCCCGCAACCATCTGCTGTGACAGGCAGCTAGGCAGGGGCTCTAGTAACAGCTTTTGTGCCACAGAGTGAGTTGATCCCCTACACGGCACGTTTTCCCTGGAGTGGAGATTCTCCATGAGCCTGCAAATAGTGTGCGCTCCCCACAGTGCTCATGTGAAGGTACAAAGTAGCCATGAGCCTTGGGTGAGCTGACACAGGCTTGACACAGGACTCCTCCTGAGACCCTGCTGCTGGAATGCACTCCAGGCCGGGTTTTCCTTTTCAAGTTTTCAGGGTGACAGTCAATGCTGCCTGTAACATGGGATAAAAAGTTCCCGAGGACAGAGGGCCTGGAGGGCAGGGAAACTGCAGGAAAAAGGCAGGGATGGGGTCCTGGCATTTACTGTCTATCTGCAAAACAAACTCACGGCCTGCAAACGGCAGAGCCAGGCCTTCGGCCTCCATGGCTTTGTCACCTTCGCTCCAGTAGTTCTAATGTGATTTCCCCCCTTTTTCTCGTGGGATGAGAAAATACTTGAGAGTTAAGCAAAGTGAGTTTAAACCCCAGCCCCCTGCCCTTAAGCTGTGTAACCTCCCAGGCTGGGCCTCAACTTTCCCCTCTGTACAGTAGGTTAACATGGCCCACTTCCCATGCTGTAACAGATTTTCTGGGAGACAAAATACACACAGTGCTATGTCGGCAGTCACAAGCTGTCATTGAGCAGGTGCACAAGCAACGTTCTCTTTTTCTCTCTCTCCTTTTCCTTTTTCTTTCTTCACAGCTCTTTGTCCCTGTCCCCACCCACCCCCTAGGCCCGGAACCCAAAGTGTCCACAGAACCCCTTTTCCAAGATGAGGGAAGGGTCACAGTCCACTGTCAGAGTGGGGAGGCCCTTGGCAAGGCCAGCCCCACTCCCTGCTTCCTGGGGCGTCCCTGAGGGTTGGGCTCGGGGAGGGGCGAAGGTCTCCAAGGGAGGGGGTTGGGCAGGTGGGGCCCTGGAGTCTGCGGAGGAGGGCAGACCAGACAAGTCAGGTGGTTCCAGGGTTCTGAGGTTGGTGCCAGGACAGGGAATGGTGGCTTGGAAAGGCACTGTGTCTAGGGGGGTAGCTGCAGCCCTGTGATTCTTCTGGGGACAGGGACAAGAGAGCATGGCCCTGGTGCACACGGCCTGTGGCAGGTCTGAGTCAAAATACCTAAGACCGACCCTGGCCAGTCATGCGGAGGGCTGCCCAGTCATCGCCTTATGCCGGCCTGGGTCACACAGAAGGGCTGGGCGCGGCCCAGTCAGTTGTGACTCAGGTCCCAGCAGCCTTGCCACGCAGCACCGGGCAGGGGCTTGAGGCACAGGGACGCCCCCCTCCCCACCCTTAGCCCCACTCCTCCCTTCAGCCACCCTGAAGACCCTGCCTCACCTGTGTCTGGTGCAGTCTGGCCAGGAACCTGGGTTTCTCTGCCCTTGTTGCCCCAGCCCTTCATCTGGGGGGTGGGGTAGAAGTGGGGGGAGCCTCAGAGCCACCCGGCCCTTGACGGGAAGTCAAGTGGGGGAGTGGGGTGAGGATCAGTCTCCAGAGAAGATTCCGCAAGAGAGGGAAGCAGAGGGGGCCCTGGCCCCGAAGACAAGTGTTCCACTGAAGATCTGGCAGTCACCCTGCAAGACGCCGGAGGGTCCTGTGTAGACACCGACCACGGTAAGCTTCCCTAATGGGGCAGAGCTTGGGGGGTAGATGCTAGTCCCCAAATTTATCTTCAGTCGGGCAAACACTACCTCCTTCATGTGTCTGGGAGGCACCCGGTAGCCCACACGTTTTCCAGGCCTCAGTCGCTCGGTCTGTGTAACAGGCTTGGTAAGACATGCCCTGCACACCTCTCTGAGGGTGTTGAGGTAAAGAGGTAAAGAGGACAGACCAGATGTGAAAGTGTCAGGTGGACACGTGAGTGGTTAAAGGTCATCTTGGGGTTAAAGGGCAGGGGAAAGAGCCAGGGATGGGGAAGACAGAA